ATGGCGCCTCCAATTCTGTTGTTAACATACAGAGGAACATGACAACATGACATGGGTATAGGTTACTAGCTGTTTGCTCATGATTGAGTGTCGTATAGTTGCAGAAGGGCTTGACAGCTAAAAAGATTTTCAACAAAAAAAGGTGTCCAACTGATTGCAAATAGGTAGCGGACAAGGGATATATGTTTTTGGGACAGAAAATGGGAGATGGGGTGCTTATTATTTGTTTTTTACCTAATTGAACTACCTGTAAGAATGTTTTTACCTAATTGAACAACCTGTAAGAATGAACTTCCATATTTGAATACACGCCTGATTTGTTTTTTGGATTATGCAGTCATCAGGAGCACCGGTGTGTTGCCACTGCTCTTGTCGAGAACCAGAGGATCTTCTAGAAAGATGTGATGTTTGCCAGATTCAGCGCGTTCATATCTTCTGCCTGGATCCTCCAGCTTTTCCGTGGATTTGTGCTAATTGCAAGGATCTCCAGAGGCTGTACCTGTACCGCCGCTAATATGTTAATATCTCGATTATTGCACTAGGATGAACGGACATTAGCTTTCTAGTTACGACACTTTTGTTCATACAGTACAAACATATTTTGGATTTCATTATAAAGTTGATTCGCAAGTGAATTCCCCCTGACTAATAACGATATGAGGAGCCAGGAAGGATGCGATAACTGTTCCAGAGAAGGTTGACTAGCTAGTCAATGCGATCAGTTTGATTTAAGCGGTTCTCTTGGCTGACATGACTGTCAACCTGGTGTGTTTGGCGATTCGGATATGTTGGGATGATCGAATATTGTGTGTAATGCACATAGAATATATATTAGAATACAAGGAACGGAACGATTCCTCTGATTCGTTGGTTGACAAGCGTAATGCAGTCTTACCTGTCCTTTAGCCAAGTGGATGTCACATGTCCACAAATGAGTAAATGCTTGAAACTCAAGCACTGACAAGTTAAATTTTGGTGAAGTTTCGGCCGTTCTTATTGCTGCTTGATTTTCTTGAAATATAGCGATTCATTCTGTTCCTCGCTTTGGGGTTTATTTTCTTTCTTTCTCCATTATTCCCTCAATTATCTGGAGATCTTCGGATTTGCCGCTTTCCACTTTAATGGAGGGGTATTTACCCATAATGTCTGAAATTAAAGAGAGCTGTCATTAGCAGAGCCTGATTAGGTAGGAATTCAACAGTTCAAACTCTTAATTCGCTGCATCTTCAGAATTCGCATTCACCATCATTAACCCCTGCCTAATAATCATACAGGCATTCTCCAACAAACCACCAAAGTTATAGATTCTCAAGGCTTCTCAAAGCCTCCTAGTAGAACAAGGTGCCTGGATAATTTCAGATTCATCAAATCAACTCTGCTGGGATTGACCAGCAGTCGATCTTCCAACAATTGGTTCCGACAACGATGAAAAGTTTCAGGAAACTCGTCCTTGGCTTTTTGAACGTCCTAATTTTGGCATTCGCAATCTTCCAAACCGTTTTTGTGTTGATATACAATCATGATCCCCCCAACAAACAGTGCTACAAAAACTCTGCCCCGACGATTTTTTGGCTGTCAGCCTACTTGTTGATCATGTCATTGATAGGGTTGATGGCTTCGTGTTGTAAGTCCGGATCCCTGCAGATCTTTTATGCGTGGCTGATGGCGATGACTACGATTGTGGCCCTCACTTTCAGCATTTTTATGTTTTTGACTTTGCCCAACGAGTCCGCAAATGCTACATATCAGAAGACGCAGAACGGAAATTGGCTAGCCGGATTCTCCCCACTCTTGCGCTTAATTTTAGTGAATGATCAGGAATGGAATAGGGCCAAGACGTGTTTGATCGACAAGGGATTATGTCAGGGGTTCAGAAATCATTCTGCCAGTTCGCCATGGGATTACTTGTACTACGTTCAGGTTATTAACAATTTAACATCTTTCTTTATTTGATCGCCGTCTCCTTTTGTTTATGACTGTACCTTCTTCTCTTTTCTCTTCCTCTTCTGCGCGGTCATAGCAAAATTCACGATTGGGCAATCTAAGTTTTGATGCATGTTTGATTGATGCTGTGTTGCTTGTCTGCAGTTGGGCTGCTGTAGTCCGCCAAAACGTTGTGGTTTTCTGCAAAGAAATGAAAGCTTCTGGGAGATCCCAGAATCTGGGTTTGCTTCCCAGAACGAGGAATGCCAAATGTGGGCAAACAGCAGCAACAGGGGAGGGTGCTACGATTGTGACTCATGCAAAGCAGGTTACCTAGCCAAATTCCAGATGGACTGGCAGGCTGATAAGGCACTATTCGTGGCCATCCTTCTCATCCTCATAGTTAGTACCTCCCTCGCCTTCTGGACCTTCGGTTGCAGGGATGAAAGCGAGCATGCCCGTGAACAAAGGAAATACAGGAACGTGGTTAATGCTTGATGCGCTAGTGTGCCAATTTCAATTTTGTTCCCTTTTGTTGTGGCTGAATCGTTCACTGTAGAATATAGATGCCAACCAACTTTGGTGGAGTTCAATTTGGGCAATGTTCGTCATATTTGATGCACCTGCCTCTGAATTTGGTAGTTTTGCTGCAGTAGATTGTAAGTACATGTACCAGAATCACTTCTCTCACCCTACCCATAGCAATAGAGGTGAATTTACGAAATTTAGGCTAGAGCTTTTATTGTTTTAGAGAGGAGCGTTTATTGTTGTCCAGATCCTAGATTTCTGTGTCCCTTCAGGCTGCCTTAGGCCTGTGGTTTCTCAAATCATCCTTTGCTCCAGAAAGTTCAGAAAAGGGGGAAAAAACAGAAAAGAAAAGAAAACAGCAATGCAATGCTGTTCTGATACAGTAGTATACTTCTCCATGTATGCCATTTTTGAAGTGCTTATGCATTTTTAATTTTAAATCTTTTGGGTGACCAGAGAGGGCCCGACTTGGACACAAGGATTACTCGATTCTTCAACGACTCCATCTATGATTTGTCTTCAGCGAATGGTGCGATGGTTGGGTAAAGTGTGCACTGTGCAGGCAGTCAAGACAAAAGGATTACCTCTCTCTGTCTGTTAATGACTCACCGACTCCGGCTCGTGATTTTTTTTTTTTTTTTAATTTTTTCTGGACGCCGGTCACCTGTCAAATCCTCAACCCGCTGTCTTCATACAGCTGATTATTAGTTACAAATATTCTGGTTTTATTGTTGTTAGCAAAGAATGAACAGGTCCGCTTAGAAGGATAATTGTTATTAGTGCTTAAAACACTCGACGCATGTGCAACAAAAAATAAATATTTAAATTTTTTTTAAAGATATTTGTTCAAATTATTTTTTATGCGATTTGGTCTTATATTTTTATAATACATACAGACATTTACATAAATAAATGTACAAATAAACTATTATTTGGCAGTGCATAGTTATTAAAAAAAGAGATAGAAGTCGATATGATAGTGGGTAGGAGAGACAAAAGTAAACATGATAGTGGGTAATTATACTTGAAGGGTAGTTTAGGAAGATCATAAGATGACAACTTTTTGTTTATACCAAAAAGCTCCCTACCCCTTTATATATATGATATAGATAGGGACAAGGATAAATTTGAAAACACATAAAGTTAAACATCAAGTTAAAGTTAACTATCTCTGCATAGGCTTCCTTATTGTAAAAATACTATCACAAATCACAGTAACATTTAAAAAAAAAAAAAAAAAAAAAATCTCCGACCGTTCCCACCCACTGTGCTAGTAGTAAAATTTGGGTGTTAGGGTCGTCAATTAGGCTAGGCTTGGCTCAACCCAGAAAAAAGCCCATGAGAAAATTTTGGACTTAACTACTAGGTTGAACTACGTGTGAGTCAAGTTCAGACCTGTCAAGTTCAAACCCGATCAAGGTTTGGCTCATACGTGAGTCTAATTATATATATATATATGTATAAAAATATATAATAATATCAATAATTTATAATTATACATATTATGACATAAAATTCTAATAATTTATAGATAAATTTATAGTAATTCACAAATATAAAATATATATTATATATAATTATGAGTTTAGATGCAGTTGAATTCAAATCTGAAACACATATATAATAATGTGTAACCTAAACTTAAAGTCTTTTGATTTGAACTTGAAACTCTTTTTTCCAAGGCAAAGGACTTTTGATATTTGGACAAACGTAAACCCCGTAAAAGCTCACAAAAGCCGACAACTTTTGAGGGTCTTACAGGAGACTTATCTACTCTACCCCAACCCCCCCGAACCCCGATGTGGGATATCAACCTCCACAAGGGAGCTTGCTAGACCTAAAGAGACCCTATACTCCCCGAGATAAGGGGGATGTCTTTTTTCCAAACCCAAAGGACTTTTGATATTTGGACAAATCTAAACCCCGTGAAAGCCCACAAAAATCGGCAACTTTTGAGGGTTTCACAGGAGACTTATCTACTCTAATCCAACCCCCCGCGGAACCCCAACGTGGGATATCAACCTCCACGAGGGAGCCAACTTGAAACTCGAAAGTTCAAAAACTGGGATAATTTATGAGCAAAGTCTGAATTTGCTCGATCCCGATTCAAAAAGTCCAATTGATACTCCTATCTGACCACGACGTGTTTTTAATTTGTCACCTTTGCGGGGACAAGCACATCATGTACATTCTACGGCACCCAATAAATATGAGCTCACGCCAAAGGCGAAAGCCTCCAACCCACCGCCTGCTGCGTTCGGAGACAGCCAGGGCCAGGCCCAGGCCCACAAGAGTAAATAACAATTAACAGAAGCAACGGAACGGACAAAACAGAATAGATTGGAGCATCACAGTTTTTAGCGCATCCTCTCAACGCAGGATTTACGTACCTACTCACTGGATATCTGTGGATGTTTTCGCTTGCAGAGAGGATAAGGCCCTTTGAAAGCCAGCCGAGACTACTAGTTTCTTCTTTGTTTGGTCCATGGTGATCATTGGAACAACCAATACTACTAGTAGAACATGGTAAAACGAAAAGGAAACAAGAGGAAGAAGAAGACAGTAAAAGGCTCTCACTCATAAATCATACTGGGAATCAGACGGTCTGCCAAAAAGAGAGCGCATACATACACTGCATAATATTTCAGATTCAGAGCTGAATTCAGAAAGCATAGGTTCGGGTGTGGGGAGAATCAGCGATTCTCAGAGTTCGTGCGATGAGCTTTCGAGCCTTCCTGCTCCTTATTTCCACTCTCATGCTTTCACTCTTCTCAATTTTGTCGTACGCTTTCCTCATCCTCAGAGACTTGAGGAGTTTGGACTTCAAATTCCGCACCAACTTCTCCAAGCCCCCAGTCGTCGTCGTTCGTCATCATCAACAACAGCCTTCGCTAATTGCTTCAACGCTCTTCTCTTAATTAAAGAAGAGTCGAGTTCCCCCTGCAACATGAATCAAATGTTATAAAGGAAGGAAGGCGGCACCTAACTAATCAGCTGGCAGCAGATGATGAACAATCAGTGTTACATGCACCATAAAAAAGAAGCTACTACCTGCACCAGGTGTGTGTGTGTTTGTGTGTGAGAAAGAGAGGCAGAGAGAAAGATGCTAAAAACGAATGAGTTTATAACCAGCCGTTAGACTTAGACGTCAGAGCGCATTAAGTAAGAAGAAGAAGAACAACAACAAAGTTGAAAGGAAGGCTAATCACGCAATCCTTGAGAGAGACCGGGAATTGTACGACCCTACATCTGATTCTGACTGACTCGTAACGAACAAATTACTGTAGATTAACAGTTGACTTATTAGTTCCGGCTCCTCTGAGTTCAACAAGAATTCATCTAAAAAGAAAAAAAATTGATTGAAATGGCTTTGTACATTGGAGCATGAGTGAGAGAGGATACAACGGAGTAGAAAAGGAGCAGTGTTGTTATAACGGACTGATTCTTTTTTCTATATAATATAATATATTCTTGTCTTGTTTTCTTGCCGCTGTTTTTTTGTGATGCGGAGTAACTAAAGGACTTTAACTGGTAGGAGTATCAATTTCTAGAGGTAGGCGCGGGTCAGGTATCCGTCCCATTTATCATTTAGCTTCCATTTGTTATTTAGCTAACTCAATTCGTATTTTGCGAGTTAATCATTTTCTGATTATTATCCGCCCCGCATTAGGGTACCCGTTGAGATAGAGTTGGATCAGCGGGTACCCGTCCCTCCCATTTATCATTTAATTTTTTTTAAAAAATAATTTATACCAATTTAATTTTATATTTTGCACATTTATTTAAGATTTAATAATTTTTTTCTAAAAAAGGCTTCCCGCCAAAAAACAAGCATGTGAAGAGAATATAAGATAAAGGAAAAAAATTAAATGAATTCAAAATCAATAAAAGTTTGAAATAAGTAGCATAATTTTTAATATATATATTCCACATTAATTAAACTTTTTTCTATAAAATATAAGATCATGACCTCTACAAATGAATCTTGTAAATAAACTATAGTCTCTCATATTTGTAATGCAATTTGTTCAATAAAATTACTTATTTAGTTCTAACTTATTATTTTATAGTGTGTGTATAAAAATAAAAAATATATATATGCGCGGGCAGATCGTGTACCCGTAAATTTTTAATTATGTGACTCTAATCCGCCCCCCATCTTAGGGGATACCCGATCAAATAATAAAAATCGAATATCCTAATTTTCTGACAGGATCCGACATAACGGGTTTTCGGTTAGCGGATAATTTTGCCCACCCCTATCATTTTCTCCACGAATTCTTCCGGCCTTTGAAAAGGAGTAATATAATAATATGTATGTTCTTGAATATTCCCGCATAATTATTGTCATCTTGTTGAATATTTTTCTTAGATTTGGACTAGCTAATTTGACAATTTAGGCTTATTTTTAGTCCGCGAAGAAATAGTAAAAGCTATAGCGGCATGAATCAATTGCTTTAAGCATTGTTGTTATTTGTTTTCTTTTCTGGGATGAATAATAGATTCGCATGATCAAGCACGGCCGGAAAATACATGTGGAATGTTTGGCTCGAGATTAGCAGAAAAATACATGTGGACAGTGGACGGTTGACGTGGGCTACTTGTTGCAGGTGCAGGTGCAGGCCCGGCCCGGCCCTTGTTGCATGGCTGCCCTCCTTCCACCAGTGACATAAAATGACTGAGATACGAGAATAATATGGATCACACAAACTGAGAAGTCCTAGCAGGAATCATTGATTGATGGCCCGCCATAATGAATCGACAAGTTACTGATTTTTTAACTGGTCGCCGGTCCTCTAATCCTCAGTGGGAAACCAAATGCAGTAACCTCTCCAACTCTAAATTCGGTTGGGCGTTGCCAAAAGAGACATTCTGATCCTGTGATCAATAGGTCTTAAGTTCAAATCATTAACAGGGCAAGTAAAGTCGAACAATTGATCCTTCTTTAAATTAAAGAAAAAGTAAATAATCAAAAGCACTAAGGATTGTGCTAATTAACCAAGTAGTTGGTCCTAAGTAGAGTTTACTTAGGTGTAGGTCATGCATTCTAAAAATTCAGACTCTTTTGCAGGTTTCGTCAATCATTTGGATTGGTGTTGGTTTAGTCTCCTTTAGTTTTTCTTGGATCTCTTTAGGTTTCCCTCTCCCCAATATAGAGTAAAAATAGATTTAAAATAGATTCTATTGTGTCCCGAAAAAAAAAAAAAAAAAAACTAAGGATTGCACTAATCACGTTATCGATGCAAATGGTTTGATGAGATAACAAAAAAATAGGTTAGGCACTCTTGCAGCACTAAATATTTGCGGTTGGACTTAACTGTAATACTACTACACAAAAATCAGCATGTAACAGGAAGCACAAAAATTAAGACATATCCTAATGACAAACTGTCTGCCTCATGTCGAAACAGGAAGCACATGGGCCATTGATTGGGAGTTGACCCAATCAACACGAACACGGTCCTCTTACACACCACTTGAAGTGTGCCCGGTTCATTTCTCGTTCTCTATATCTCTATTGGGCCGCAGGGAATAGGTCCATAAGAAAATTTTTGCCTTTCTAGGCTAAAATTCTCTGGGTACCCCGAATCAAAACTCATCTTTGACTGGATGCGAAAAGTATTAGAAGGAAAGAATGGGAAAGAAAAAAGCAAATCGAACCGAATTATTTTTGCCGCAAGGTTGTAAAAATGCTCAGAGGTTGCAACTAATCTTTATTTGAACAAATTCATGGTAGTTTTTTTCTTGCTCATTCTCTTATAGTACAATATTATGGGACAATTACTTGCCTCTACAGGATTAATTAATTTCTTCCTCTCTTTTTTTTTTTTTTGCCGCGTTAATAAGTCATCAATTTTCGTAACTCGTTTTGCATTGCTTTGAGGATTGTTTGAACTGTGATAAGTTGAGTACAACTAGGTAGATTTCATGAGAAAAGAAGAAACCAATTATGGCCTTTTGAAGATAGCCAATTCATGCATATGTGAGCTTAACAGGACATATTAAAAGGGTAAATTTGCAGTTGAACACATGCAAAATAAAAGCATTTAAAAAGTAATAGAAAAATACAATTGATACATGGGCATTTTTGAGGCTCCATGAATTAGAGTTTTGGGTTCAAATTTCTTTTTCCTCTCTCCGCTTTTTAAGTCCGGCCCCTTCCCTGTTAAAAAATAGAATGAAAAAAAAATTTATATATGGGCCTTTGATTTCTTTGTTATTCTTTCAAGGGGCATTTCCTAATTAAGTTAAGTTTAATAAAAAAAAAAAAATTTTACATTTGGATGCCCAATAAGGTAAGTTTGTGGAAATTAATTTGATAGATGCAATTGCATGTGCTAACAACTAACTACATAAAAGTAGCTAAACTTTCGCAAATTACCAAGTGTGAATGGATGGCTTATGATGTGTCAAAATACAACGTTTATATAGACGGCTGCGGGCACAACATTTTGAAGCGCCGTGGACGTGCTGTATTAGAAGTTACGTACGTACTTGATTGCAGATTCAAACCAAATTGAGTCTTGTACTCATGAAGACGAATTCACCATTTGCTTGAAAAGGAACGATGGGTACAAATAATTTCTTATTGTATCTAATCTTGATGTAATTTCCTCTGCTGGTCCATTGGCCTTACTATAAATGAATCGGTAGACAAAGACAACCGTCACTTTTGTTACTGAACTTACCGCAACATGCGTATCTATGGAAAGCCTTTCTTTCTTCTACTTTCCTCACTCCTTCTCTTTCTTTCTCTTTTTTTTTTCCCTCTCTTCTCTTCCTCTATTTTTTCCCCACCTCATCGCTCAGATTATAGACCTCATCAATGAAGCACCAAGCCTCTGAACTTCCGTTGGCGAAACCACAGGCACGGAAAAAAGCACCCAAGATAGCTCCGTTACTTATTGCCTTGACTGTTCTTTTCACAATTATCCCTTTATATTATCCTTCATTAAGATACAACAGCAATCCCAAGAAAATAAATGAAGCATCCTCTTTTGTTCCTCATTCGGAAATCACTTTAGAACAAAACAATGACCAAGACCGTCATCTAGGCGAAGAAGGTGACCGAACATTGGCGGCCCCGAAAGAAACACAAGGGGATGATGATATTGCAGAGAGACCCCCCGAAAGCTCGAAAGATCAAGAAGACGAATCAGCAGATACAGAGACAAGAACAACAACAACAGGAAGGACAAAACCACCAGAAATATACCTACCCAGCTCTACAGAAAGTGGGCTGGCAGCTGCAGAATCACTGGATAAAAGGGCTGATCAAACGAGCCGAGGCCAGGAACAGGTGATCAAGGGCAAAAAACCAGCAAGGCCTGGAGGAAATAAAGAACGGCCTAAACGTCGCCAACATGATTTTGGGGGGAGCGCAAAAGAACGAGAAATGCCTGCCAGGAGAATTCCAAGCCTTAGCGGTGGAGATGGTGGGCTGGTGAATAAGTCTCAGGAATTGATAGAGAAGAAAGGTGAAGGGTACTGTAACTTGTTTTCGGGGGAATGGGTACCCAACCCCGAGGGGCCATATTACACGAACGAGACCTGTTGGGCAATTCAAGAGCATCAGAATTGCATGAAATTCGGGAAGCCTGATACAGGGTTCTTGAAGTGGAGGTGGAAACCTGACGGGTGTGAGCTGATTTTCGACCCCCAACAGTTTTTGGAGATTGTGAGAGGGAAATCCATTGCATTTGTGGGAGACTCTGTTGCGAGAAATCACATGCAGTCATTGATATGCCTCTTGTCCAGGGTAAGCCTCAATTCCGGTCCATTACCATCTTTATTACCAGTACGTGTTCACTTGCTAATTCAATGCATTTATTCAATACTTGCCTCTTCTTTTTCGAATTCATGAAATTTCAACGGCGAATATTTTGACGTACGGTGCCGGCCGCACAATCTTGATTTTTAATTAGTCATGAAGTTTTTTGCTTTTTTTTTATGTAACATGAGGTACATTTATGTTGCTAGTGTTGTTTCTAGTTATTTCTCCACTAGAATCATCAGTTCAACTTCAGCAAGTAGATTACCAAGTATTGTTAATACATAAGGGAATAAGAAAATCAATCAACAGTAAAACTACCAGTCTACTTCTTCATTCGATTAATGCAAAGCTTCCTTGATGCTGGATTCATAATTAATGCACAGGATTCTCGTAGATTTTGTATAGGAAGACGGCATTAGTCGATTCCAATGGCTAAAATGGTATAATGGACAAACATCTTTTAAGAAAAGAACCAGTTTTTTTCCACTACCTATAATATATGCGAAGGCCCTTGAGTCAAAATCCTTTTTGTTGAGAAATTTGAGAAATTCCAATGACAAAAAAAATCTTACTGTTGTATCTGCCATTGGCATAAATTTACCTTAAACATCCTTTTTTTTTTTCTCTCTCTCTTTAGATAGGA